TGTGAAGGCTCGTTCTGTGACACGGCAATTTACAACGCGCGAGATACGAGGAGCACCCCATTAATATCCCAAACATTAGAGTCGCCTCCCTCTAACACTCCCCGCTTACTGTCCCCGGCGAGCGGGATGATCTTTCGATCCTTTTCATAAATTTCAAGCCAGTCATTGGTTTGACGCCCGGCGAGTTCAAAAAAGGAGAAAAAAGAAAAAAACATAGAGGAGAAAGAAAGGTGGCTGCCTCCATAAAGCGATCGCTGAGACCCTCGCCCTTTTTCCATAGCGCGCCGCGCGTCTCGTCTCTAAGTGTATTAGATTCGCGTTTCGAGTCATGGAAGAAGCCGAAGACGACGCGACGGGGCGAATGGGGGAACCGGGAGGTGGGTTTTCGAAGTGTGCGCGAGAGGGTAAGTCCGAGGGCGCGGGCCTGTACCCCGCTAATGGCACCCTCGGGGTATTCCCGAAGAACCCTCTCGTATTTATTATTTAACGCGGGATGCCCGGAGGAAGCGAGAGGAAAAGGAGAAGAATCGGCAGGAGAAGAAAGAGGGGAACGGAAAAATGTGGAGGCAGATAGGGGGTCGGGGACGACGATTTATCCGCAAACATCGCGCACATCGCGGAGCACGAAGTTTCGTCGAATACGGTTTAGAGAATGGAAACCGCGGGAAATTAACGCCGACACACGACGGAGTCAGTGTACGAGGGAAAACCGGAAGAATCCTGAGTCAGGACACGCAGTGCTGTGCAGTTCTCTATCCTTAATCTTTAAATCTCAGATATATATTAGCAGAAAACTAAACTGTCAGAATAATGCTTAATGCGATAAGAAAGAAAGCGATATCATAAATAATAATAGCGTTCTCCAGATAATTTTCACTCTAGATTTTGCGCGATTAATACACATCGCAAATGCGTCGTGGAAATTTCTATTTTCATCCCCCTATTCGCGAGAATTTATCGGGGACCGAGGTAGCGCCGATTAAATCCACTTGCAGAAGATAATCTAGCCATTAGCACGACTGCGCTATTCGCGCTGGCGATGAATCGACGGATTGGTTGACGGAAAAAAAGCGCGCTTTCGGGAAAGCGATCGACGCCGGGTAAAAACAGCAGATGCCGTTGGTTAAAGGGAGAGAAGAAGAGCGCGAGGGGCAGCAGCAGGGGTCGGAGGGTGCCGGGGGTGGGCGAAATCGGAAACGATTGTCGCTCGCGTCCGTTCGAAAAGGCATTCGGCGCCGGCAATTTGCGCGTCAGGGAAATGCATGCTTCGGTGGCAGCAGCTGCGGTACGTTATTGATACTACATTTCTCCCGATTTGACGAATTGCCGTGCCGGACTAATGGTCCGAATGCGAAGGCAGCAGCCCCCTTCCGTCCCCGACAATCGTCGTCTCTCGGCCCGGTCTCGTAAAACTATAACCAGCTATAACTCATAACTCTCCCCGCCGAAGAAGAAGAAGGAGGAGGAGGAGGAGGAGAGGAAAAGCTGGACCGGAGGAACGCAGGCAGGATCAGAAAGGAAAACGGCCGAACTTATGCTCGGTTAGTCGGCATAGCTCAACGTTGGAGGTCAACGTGCTCGATGCCTCGATCCGCACGCAACCGCATTCGCGTTGATTTCCGTTTCGCCACAGGACTCTCGACGGCAGGACTATTCCGGAGATCTCGCTCGGGATGGCAATTCTACCGCGAAACCGATTCCATTTGGGCGTGAGCTGATTTTTGCGTCCGAAGCCGGATTTTTTGCGATTGTTAGGGGAATCGTGAACCAGAGATTCTTTCGCGGATCGATTTGTCGCAGCGCAAATTGGACGTAACTCCATCTTTTATCGCAGTTCTTTCTTTTTCGTCGTAGGCGTCGAATATCTTAGCGATTAAGTTTCATTTAACGCTGTTAACTGTATACAGTATGATAAATAAATTAATCGACTTTTAGTGATTAGCACTTTTCTGCTTTCTTTTATAATGTATAATTCATAATCACTGCTTTAGAGTGTACAATTAAAATTTTTATAATTTATTTTATTTTTAAAATTCACTTTGAGATTATATGTAAAACAAAGTTAACTATACTTGCGGTGCCATCTGCCGCCATCGCATTGAAACGTCGGATTCATGCTTTGAAGGATCGTATGACTAGTTTATCTATTGAGAAATGTTAACTTTTGCAGAAACATGTAACAATTAATGTAACTTTAATAGTTAATTATTATTCATCTAATTATTATTTTATTTTTTAAACAAAATATAATTATTAATATTATAAATATAATTAAAATGATGCTTCTTTGTTTTTATCATTAATTTAGACGTCAGTAAGAAAGAAACAGAAGAAGACGAAGAAGAAATGAAATTATATTACGCACAGCATTTTGCTAGCAGCATTCCTGGAATGATAATAGCGTCATTTAAAGTGTTCGCGTAATTAACGAAGCTAAAAACTTTTGACCCTTAATTACGTAGACCATTGTGCTCGTAGAGTCCTTTCTTTCTCCCAGATGCAATGGAAACACGAATGCGCCCTACTGAAAAAAAAGTATCCTGCAATCTACATTTATAACGCGCGCTTCTCTTTTACATAAACATTTTTTTATATTACATAACATTTCTTAATCAAAATATAAATTACAAGTGACAAATTTATTGTCGTTATAAGTCAAATTTAAGAAATACAGTCTGAAATATAGTATTAAAATTAAAATTAAAATTAAAATTAAAAACTTTAACTGATTATCTTGCGTCTGTGATCAATTATACATATATGTAAATTTTAAGACACTAATAATTAATTGATTCGAGAGTGTAGATTAATTTGGTATAATTGAACAGAGTCATGCGTAAGGTGCAACGCATCGACGTACATATAGGCGTCGTATATACCAAAAATACGTCTATACAAAAAGCTTATAGAAACCAGTCTAGCATCATGCTCGGTATATGATCATGCCTCCATTGTCTCTACGTTTGGTTGAGAAACGCCCATTCAACGGCTGTTTGTATGGATGAGTCCATAACGCTTACGCTTCCATGTTATTTCGGTAAATACTACCCATGGCATCCCATTGTTTCGAGAGTCGAATATTTATGTAAAACAAGCTGTTGTCAAGAGAGTAACATTCTATTACTTGCGTAGATGCAGTATATTGCATTATCCTGCATCGTGTCTCTACATGTTATATATTATTTTATCGATTACATACATTCGCGCGTAACATTTACGATGCGTCAAGTACTTTCCTTAAGGAATCCGTAATAGTCTTTGCTAGATTTTTAAATTCCCTTTTTTTTTAAGAAAAAGAAGAAATTTATTGTTTTTGTATTTTACAGAGACATTGGAAAAAAATTATAGTATGTATTAAACAATGATGTCCATCATTTAAATTAATTTCATTTTCTCGATGATATTAAATATCTCTTTTAACAAAATTTCTATGAAAATTTTTTTAAATTATCAGCTGCAAACAATGAAACGTCGATCTGATCGCTTACTACTTCTCGGTAAGACAGTCCCTTAAAAAGGTCCACCGGATAAACGGACTCGAAGAATTTTCGACCGAACAAACTATATTTCTAAGAACTTGTTAAAGCGCTTCCAAAAATATTTATCTTCGCTAGTATCTTCAACAATGTATTTCATGAGACTGTCACAAACGCAGGAAGCAAAAGAATAAAAACATATACTAAATTTTACGAGATTTATTTACTTCCCTGAAAATTATACCTTTTAAACTTTCCGAAGGTAACGCAACTGTCGTAAAAACATAGCTGGGTCGTTATTACTCGTTTTTACTTACCTTGAAATTTGGAAAATTTTAATAAACATTATATGTGTGTGTTTCTTTCAGTTTCAGATATTCTTAATACATTTTTATAAATGTTATCTTAATAATGACACAGAAAAGTTTTATATTTTAATTTAAAAAAATGTTTACATAATTATTTATATTAAATTAAAATATAAATTTAATGTTATATTTAATATTTTTCACAAAATAGATAGATTTGTTTATAATACTTAAGAAAAATAAAAAATTATGCCATTTTGATAAAGTAATCAGTTTTATTCGGAATAAATGCACGACAACTGACTTTGATTGAGAAGGTACATATATTTGCCAGTAAAACAATTGCTTATCATGTCCAATAACAAGACCAACAACAAGAAGTTAATATGCTCCTGAAAGTCTGCTTTAACTGAGCTGAACGTTCTCTACCCTACCTATTGAGTTAGCTCGAGGCTTGCGAGAGTGGGTGGGCCTGACACGCGGTCGATCCAAGAACCGAATCGGCCGGCTGGTACCGGCACGACTGGTAGGGAGAGACCAGGAGAGACGGATGCCGTGTAACAGTCGGGGCCCTTGGGGCCTCTCTAGCGACTCAAGAGGGGAGAACAGGGGGCAAAGGCACATTCCAAGGCAGAACGGCTGCCAGTGAAGGTGGAAGGCCCCAACACTCTCTCACGATATCCTGCTCCGCGTCTTCTCTCCGATTTCGTCGTGGTTGCGATATAACGAACGTGCAAGCTTCATCGAGAAATATCCATATTTTGTTGGGTTCCGGAGAAATTTGTATCTTTATATTTTCCTGCTCCGCAGATCACATTTCGTTGAATTCTGGCAATTGTGCGTGCCCTGCCAGTGGCGTGGTGTGTAAATTGTGAACTTTCCGTCAGTTAGCGACGAGAACAGAAATTATGTATAGTTATTGCTGTTTGTGATTTATGCTACTCGGTATCATCGTGATGTCGATATAAATTTTGTGAATAATAAGTGTGCTTGCTAATCTTTTTGTTTCGATAATTAGCTCTTCAAGAATTCATACGAATTCGTTAGAATTTATTGTATGACAGACTCAAGACTGTTAATGTTAAATTTCTAATTTTATGCAAAATTATTACGTTACCATTATTAAGAGTGATTAATTTCAAATATTTAACGGTTCCTGTTTTCGAACGCTCCTTTATCAGTTCATCATCTGTACACGACAATAATTCATAGAATCAGTGACTGATCTTTCGATATTGTTTTATCAAGAGGTTCCGTATAAATAACCGATTGTTCAGCAAAATTTTACTGTCGTCAACGAACTCTCGAGATTCCTACATCTGTTCCACCGGCTTGTTGCCCCTCTTGCTCTTCGCCGTGGAACTGCCGTCCCTTACGTGACGCTTCAAGAAACATTGCAGCCTCGTTTAAGCGTTGCATCGATTAACGAGGCTTGGGAAGGCAGGGAAAGCGACTTTGGGGCACACCTTTCGAAAATGCGCCATCTCGGAGTCGCAAAAGGTTGTTCCCAAGGAATAACGAGAAACGAGGACCGTCCTGTCGCACAACGGAGCCGTGCATTGTGCGCAGATCTCCGGGTATGCGGAAGACAGAGCGCAGCCGCCAGACGACAGTGATTGAGAGAATCCGGTCGACTTGCAGAGAAACCGATTTGCAGGTGAGCGCAAACGACGACGTTACAATTCGATCGCGCTACAGATTACGGCAGGATTAAGTGCAGTAAGCGCGATTTCGTAATGCGCGTGCGAAACGCGGGACTTGTACCACCAACGAAAAGGTCGTCACTTCTTCTCACGATCTTGCGACCGCACCGGCGCGGCGAGCCGTATCTCGATGAGCGACCTAAAGAAACTCTTAAGCGTGATTCACATAATCGATTATCGTTCGCGGTCCAACAAGCAAACTTTTGAAATTTTATTTAAAAGATTTCTACATATATAATATTCTCTCGGATGGTGACTCGTATTTCGCACATATGTTAAAACGTTCGCCGCAGATGTCGGAAATTATTTTTATGGATGTTCCTGTTCAGAATTCTTCATTTCACGATTACGATTGCTCGATTGATAATTTTGATCGATTAAATTGGGTCAAATTTATAATTACGCGAATCACACCGGAATGTTCTTTGTAAGAGCGTACGTGCGATTATGTCGATGAGCGAGCGCGACGACCATCCGACCACGCTTTCCTGGATAAGCGAAATTAAATCCACGTGTCGCGGAGATATTCCCATTCTTGCCGACTACCGCGAGATCATCGAACGACAGAAAAAACTTGCGGCGTCCGAGCACAAGCCATCGGCATCGAACTTGACCGTGGCCTTCGAAGTCTTTGCGCTCGTATAACGAGATACGAGGAATGTGAGCGGCCCGGAGTCACTGGTTGTACTTACGACGACCACATCGGACTGGTTATAGCAGCTAGATGCCCGATATCGGATGAACTCGACGTGATGTTGGAGCGTAATCAATTTCGGATTTTTTTGCGCGCTTTTTTATTTTTACTAAACTTTTCGCGCGAACGAGCGATATGCACAAATTAGAATGAATTTAATGAGTCCCAAATAATCTATGTATCTAACATTGATTGCAATCTTATAATTATTAAAATGTTAGAAAAGACAGATCTTATAGAAAATAGAAGTTTAGCAATTTTAATGATATCTTTTGTTCATTCCGATTAAAAAAATTAATATTTTTCCGAATACGCTTAATATTATGCTTTTTAAATACAAATATTTATTTAAGCTGAATCTATTATAGACAACTATTTTTAATAACTTCTACAATTAATTATCTATTTAAATTACAATCTGAGATGTTTTCTCATACCTAGCATAATAAACTTACGATTGAAATCCGTAACAATTCCTAACGAGATAAACGCGTAATAAACCGCTTCAGTGCCTTCTTGAAATTTTCACACAATGCTCAGTCATAAAAGACCATCTCTCTTTTGAAAAGTCATGAACTAGTAAAGTCTTTTCAAAGATGTTTATTCAAGTTCGGAGAAAGTCATTGGAAAAGTTTTAACGACGAGTGGTGATAAAGTTTCGCCAGTTTCCGCATCCGACACGGCGCCATCGAGGCTTGTCATAATTTAAAGATTTGTCAGTTTCATTAACTAATTTTTGCTGATAAAATCTTTTCTATTTTTTAAGGAGTTTTTTCTATTATTTTATATTAAGAAAACTTACATGAGAATTAAAAATATATGATCCATCGTTAATTTATTTTAATAATCGTTAATTTATTTTAATAATAAATTAACGAATGTTCAATGTTTAATATAAAATTCTAAGATTTTTTTAACGTTCTTATTTTAATTAAAAATTATATTATATTAGTTTAAGAAATCTGTTTATTTCCTGTTATGATTCGTTATCCGGTTATCTGTTTTCCGTTTTTTTCGATCTTCTCTTTATGTCACGTCGACAGAAGTCATGCATGTCAAATGGGTAAACTAGATTACTGTTATTTAACAACGGCTCAGTTTTTTATTCGATTGCAAATGAATGCAATTCATTACTGTCATAAACGCGATAGCTCGAGACACGGGTTGGCAGCAACGGCGTTGACATACCGGTCGTCTAGATCAGGATCGATGCGTCGAACGATTCACGAGTGCGTGGTGACCGGTATTCCCTGCGACGAATGGTGGAATTCGTTTTGATGTCCCGCATCGTTGCACTTGATAAATCGTTCTATATTACGAAACAGCGGGAGCTACTGTGAGCAACATATAAAAACAAAGAGCGACTGAGAAGATCCATCTAGCGAGCACTTTGTTTCACATCTTCTTTTATTTATTATGCGACTGACTGATACACTCGTAATTTCTTCGTTATTTCTCAAGGAAAAGTAAGAAATTATACTTTACAAAGTCAATTAGTCTCTAAAATTTCTTTTTTTTACAAAAAGTAAGAGTTATAACATTTATGAAAATCATTATAATTATATCGCAACGAAATTTTTTCTGATGTTAATGGAATTAGAATGAGCTATTGAAAAATGTACGGATAAATCAGAATAAATTAATTCTTTTAAAAATTTGCGCATATATTCGAAGATGACTTATTATTAGGTATTTGAACTGAAGCAATATTCAAATATAGATTGTGAATTTACATCTTACAGATTCAATTTGTATGTTTTTCGTACGTTATTTCATTCTAGATGTTAAAATGTCTCAACCAGAATTGATTGGCGATCTGGACGTGCCTGAAAATCCACAGCATCCCTGTCAGTGTTCCACAATCAACAATATGGACCCCAGGAGGGACAGAATGGAAAGGAATATGAATAGCACCAGGATCTCCAACAATCAAGATCTCCCACGAAATCTGGAGACCTTACAGAATGTTTTCGAGCCGGTACGAATATTGGAGAGTCCCCATCAAGATAAATCGCAGATCAGTCTCGACAATACTAGGAACCTCGATCTCCTGGAACATCAAGCGAACATATCGTCTAATTCTAGATCCCTGAATCAGAGCTCGTTGTTGTCTCTTCACGGGCATAATCTTTCGTGTAGTCCGCGTAACTTGGACCTGTCTCGCAATCTGGCTTTCGAGGCGGCTCGAAGAGTCCAGGAAACTTCGACTCTGCAAGACAACCAGCACAGTTTGACCTCGAGTCCTAGTCCCTTGCTGGAGACAGGGCCGAATTTACTCGAGACGACCGGCAAAGAATTAGATAAGCAGTTGGAAGATCACGCCGGCTTGTCGCTGCAGAAGCAGAGCTCCAGCAAGGAGAAGCTGAAGAATGTGCAGCAGGTGTTGAATCCTTACCAGCATCATCACGAGGCGGTAGAGCGTGGGGTACATGGACATTTTCATGGCGACATACACGGCCACATTTACAAGCACGCCGACAATTTTAGGAACAACACGAATTTGGACGAAGGCTTGATGGGCTTTCAGCAACATCAGCGACAGCACACGCATCATCATCATAGTAACGCAAAGACAAACGTTACTCACCATCACGGATCCGGGACACATCACACACACGTGCAAGGAATGAACGGACATCATCATGGAAATCTGGCAACTAGTCTCACCAGCCATGTCCATGGAAATTCTGGTCCTCTAAACGGATCTGGTTTGTATCTTCTATTTTTACGATCTTCGTATTAATTATTACAGTATATTAATGAGAGTTGGTTGTTGTCGCAGGTTCCAATTCCATGAATCAAACTAGTTGTGCCACCTCTATCGGACACCATCATCCAACGGCGGTGCCTATCGCGACAACGATAAACCACCTAAACTCCCCCCACAGTCATCATCGACTCAACGCCGGCTCCAGTTTGGCTCACCATTCGAGTCCTGCCTTTTCCAACGATCATCACGGGGCTTCGGGTGCTCTGAGCGGCGCGTCGTCGAACTCGAGCATGATGAACCACGGTGGATCGCCCACGGTGCATCGGCACGTGGTCAACGTCAACAGCAGCCTATCGACGACACCCTTGGGTGGCCACCATCACGGCAGCTCGTCGGGTAGTTTAACCGGTCATTCCAGCGTGAACCATCATCACGTCAGCTCCGGTATATCGTGCGAATCGTCGTCGTCGAACGCTAATACTAGGACGCACAGCAGACTGGATCACGTCCACGATCATCATCATCACCTACAATCGGTGCACCCGTTGCACACGAGTCATCCCGACCCCAGGCCGAGAGATCGGGCGCCGTCGAGCTTGGATCATCACGGACATCTGCACGGTCATGTGCACAATCACGGCCACCCGCACGGGCAAAGCGACACTAAAAACCCGTCTCTTATGGGCATCGACGCCATTCAGGTATGCAAATCTGGATTTACTCCACATAAAAAAAAAATCACAAAGTTTTCGTGAACAATTGCTTTTAGACTTTGCTACAAAATTTTACATTTTTCTCTCTTCCTCGGTGTGTCTCTTATAATCGTAAAAGGACCGTTTCCAAGAAATTAATTAGATCTAGTATGTGATTGCACTTCCATAAATTTTCCTCGTACTTCACCAAATGAGGAGAATGACTTATGCCACCGTTCCGCCCAGCGGCTCGTATATTCCTAGCCGCTTTTTGCCGCCACATCTGAGAAAATACATGTTCGTGAATCGCCATATCTCTATCCGCGCACGCTTGAGTTACGTTCGCCGTGTCCTGGCCACGCGAGAAGCTATAAATCGTGTACTAAGCAACGGTTCTGCCCTTAGAGCTTATATCAGGAAATATTTTCAGCCGAGGGCCAAATGTGCAGCGCGCGCACGAATGATTAATGATCGGTGCCCGTTGCAGGGATATTCGAATTTTGCCGCGAGTGCGACAAAAAAATATTTTATCGGGCATTCTTTGCCCGTAACTGTTGATAACGAAGCTTGGTGCTAACATTAAAAATCATACGATCCGTACATCGCTCGAATTTAATGATTATATGACATTCAAGAGTTAGATAGTTAATCATCGAGAAAGGGCACGTTTAAACCGTATATAGTGTCATTACTAATGACACATACACGAAACACACACTGGATATTTACTGCCCGTAAAAGTTAATTATTTCATTTTTAATTATTTCGATATTGCTTTTAATACTCATTAACGACTCATCCTTAATACCCTTAACGATCCGATAACGATACATCTCGATGTAGATCGAGGCAAAGTCGTTCCAGACACGATACCACGTAACGACACTATTATTACAACTCATTAAGATATTATTCACGCTTCACGCGATGCAAAAGAAGATATTTTATTGAATGCTTTTTTTCCAATTTGTTTTGTCAGATCATCATTAAGCTGCCTTGACGTAATTTAACGTAAGCACTTCAACATTTTAGGTTTCGGCTCCAACGAAGAACAAGTGTCAGTGTCACGTAATGCATTCCGGAGGAAACAACGGAGGAACCGAGGGCGAGAGTGACGGGGGCGTCGAAATGGTATCAAGAACGCATCAACCTCCTGCACTTCCGCCACGTCCTCCACCGAGACCAACGAGACGTTATGAAACGACTACTGCCAATCAATGTAAGTAACTTTATTTTTGTTTACCAGAAAATTTATTAAACTCAATGATACATTAAACGTATATACTCATTGTTATCGTTTCATTTTATTACGGCTAAACCTCTGTTAAATCTTTGAATATAACAATGAATTTCATCGAGCAATTCATATAACATTAAACAGAGTTATGTTTATTATAAGTCTGATATTATCGCGTGCAACATTTCCCATGTATGTCGATATGAATAGTCGATATGGATGACATTTTTTAACACCCACTCCATATGACTTAATTTTCATTCGAGATTGAAATGTCAGGCAGCCGTTGAAACGTCAGACGGCGTTTCCTGAAAAATCATCAAATGATCTCGAAACGTTGACTAGTTGGTAGCTCCATCCTATGTCGGTTGGTTTCACAAAATTTTCCCGACAATTGCACTATCAGCCGGATGAGGAGATGACGACGTTGGCGCACGGCATCTTATCAGGCGCGGGCGCGCGTTATCGGCGACCACGCGATAGGTTTCTACCCCGTACGCTCGCGGGGAATTGCACCCCTGCATTTCTGCAGAATTTCAATCCCCAACCGCGACGGGTCGCTCGAATCATCCGGGGGTATATCGACCAGTCGATGCTTGCACCAACCGAGAGTAGGACGATCCTCCCCGTGTCGAGCGATGCAAGCGCGACTTGAAAGCGGGCCGATGACACGACAACCATCGCGCTAACGACGTGGCGTTTACGTGTTATGCGAATATGCGTGTTCGTGCATCGTTTCCTTGCTGACGTGATAAAAAAAAACAGGATTTATCCTAGATCTTGTGCGGACTTAACAAATTATCACGGCAGCCGCCACCTGTGGGACACATCACAACGTGTCCGCCACTGACGACTGTGAATTTCTCGAGTGCACGATCGTCGATACGAGAGCGGATTTTCATGTCTTAAAAAGGAATAGACGATGAAGATCGACAGGGTGACGATTGGACGATTGGTTTCGGTTTATCGCGTATCCGTGTGCGAAACTTAGTATTGAACGATGATTAATTAAGAATACGGGAGTCGACGATAGTAATGATTTCCGATGACGATTATTGACGGTGAAAGTAAGTTGACCCAGCCGGAAATGCACGACAAACAGGTGACCTTGGAAAATGGAGAACTCTCATGGTGACACGTGACCCTTGTGTAGAATGTCGCAGACACGTATGACAGCAACAGAATATTATATACCGAATAATGCAGCTAGAAATATTGAGCGGTTGCTATATCATATGTTGCCATATTCGCTCATTCATCAATTATAATTATTTATACATATACGATTTGTTTGCAATTATTGTAGAATAATGAAAAACAATTACCGCGTAGAATATAATTATTTTCTTTTACGCGTTATTATTATTTTATTTATGCATTGCTTGTCGTCTCTAGTTTTTAATAAATACTAGACATCACAGCGCGCTACGCGTGCGCGCTATTTAACTTTATTATTTATAAAAATATAATAAAGCTAATTTATGATTAGCTTTATTATACATAATTTTCATAAAAATTTAATGATATAATAATTGTGTATATTACAAAACAAATTTTTATAATTTAATTCTAAACAATTCACATTGATACATAATTCATTTTCGTGCTATTCTTATTCTATATAAAATTAATCAAACAAATCAGCAATTCTATTCGATCTAGCCAAAGCTATTCGATGCAGTGGCAAGGGAAAATTGTCGGCGGCGCCATGTGACGGCAAGTGATAAAAACGCAGGAATGAGCCCGCGGGATTGTTGAAGATTGTCGTGAGCTGACGCAAAGCGACGCAAGGAAGATGGATGGCTATCCGGTGCTCCAAATAGTGCGTTGTCGCCTCGGAACGGAAATGGAGATGGACAGCCAGGGCTATCCGTTCCCGATGGCGGCACACTCGCACTCGCACTTGCCGCATCCGGCGAATCACGCGCACTTCCCGAGGCCGCATTATCCGCATCCCTGTGGTACGCCGACAGACCCCTTTCGCTTATCAGCAACCCCTTTTTGCGCTCCCTTTGTGCACTCGTGTGCATACTTATTAATAGGCACCGCGTGACGCTGTCTTGAGGCAAGGTCAAAGGTTGTGGCGCCTCGCTCTTTCAACGCATAATGCGCTAGATTTTTACAACATAATTTAAAATTGAGAATTTTTAATTATAAAGTCATCAGCCTTAATCGGCACATTTTGTTTAAAATTATTCCTTATAACTGTTACGGTATTAATAAAGTAATGAACTTTAAACGAGATTTCTTTCCGTATAACTTTTTTATCAAGGAAAGAATGGTTAATCGCATGTCTTATCTATCAAGAAATGTGAGAGAGAACAATTTGAGACAGCCTCTGCTATAATATTAGGCTCTATTTCTATTTATACCTTCTTAGACAAATATCAGATCGTAAGTTTTCTGACACGACTATTACTGGAACTGATCCATATTACTAGGCCGAATGTTACAGTAATAGTTGTTTTCGATATATTGATTATTCGTGCCATACATGAAATATTTTTAGTATGCGGCACCGAAACAAATTTCGCAATTTCGGAAGGATTTTTTGAATCAGATTGTTATTTTGTTATTTATTTGTACGGCGTAGACCTAAAGAGCCTACATGAATCTCTTGTTCCGTTTCTAATTCTGCGGTGGCTACGAAATATTTCAGGTATTCCGTTATACATATCTTGTCACATTAAGGAGAAACAAAATGTTTTGTAGCCTTACAATCTCGTACGCACGAGAACCAAAGTTAGGCAAACAAACACGAAATAACTAATTCATTCTCCACCAAATTGGGTTGGTATTTTTGTCGAGATTTTTGTCGGCGGTAAATATCACGCAGGTAGTAGGCGTACCGTGACAGGTCGAAGGGTAGAAATTGTGTTACGCCCAAAGAAAACCGCAGAGCTCATCAATTTCCCAACCGTGAGTATTCTATAAAGTGGAATGTGCGTACATTCGACGTTAATGTTACCGATTTCTTATAATTCTCCTCGAAAACGTGAAAACGGTGAATTCACCCTCCGGAGAATCCAAGAATAGTTTTCTTAAAAGGATCCATTCGACTTTTTCCCTCCCTAAGAATTTCCACTCCGTAAATTTTATATCCCGCCGTTTTGAACGGTAGATTAGGATCAGAAGACGCATCACGCTCCATGGATTTCTTAAAGACATTTGTCGAAACTCGTGCTTGGAAAAACATACAGCGAAAATCTCACTCCGGGTCTCAAATTGTCTTTTCATCGAACTTTTATCTCAGGAGATCCTTTCGAATTTTACCCGATATATTTTTCGCTGAAAGCGAATGTAAATATTTGAAAAACACAATTTCTGGTCTTCGGTCTTTATAAAAATATCTTACGTGAATATTTTTAATTGCGTTCGCGCTCCAATGTTCTGTTCTTAATCTCCCAACATTTTCCGTGCGTCAGCAATATACCCGACTTCAAAAAAAGAAAGAAAAGAAAGTCTTCTGAAAATGGGAATATTAGCTCATTGTCTTCAAAGCTATGCAGTATATTGACGCTTGGGGATTCATTGAGAGAGAACTTTCAATACGGTTCGGAGCACTGGACTCAATAGGAAGGACTTTGACAATGGAAGTCGAACCCGGATGCCGTCAAACGAAGTAACACAGCTGCGTTGAACGTTACAAAAGCAGCGTCGTAGAGATTCCCCAACGCGGTCGCGATAGAAACGGAAATACAATTGGTGGTTTCTGAGTTTCCACGAGCTGCGAGATAGGCGATGAAAGCGATTGAAATTTATTCGTCCAATATTTTTGGATGAAATAAACTATATTTTAAATAAATTGAAGCATCATGTAGCAGTTTGACTTAAATGTTTTTTTTTTTTCATCCTTTTTTCATGCATTTGTTAACAAGATTTAGCATTTTTGATGTGTCGCATCTTTGTGATTGTTATCATTTATCATGTGTCTGAAAGGGTCTGTCTGATGGTCTTAAATGTTGTCCTTTGTGCGACTATCGACCCTTTCGGGGAGAAATCTCAGCGGGAGTAAACCGTGCTGGATCCTCGGTTAGCGGGATAATGATTGTCCTCGCGTGAGAACCTAACAGCCGTAGTCCTGATCTGGTCACAATGAGAAACGTGCCGCGAGCGAAATTCCTCGAATATCCGTAGACAGCGATTACCGTCAAACTCACGTTGATATTCGCGTTTCGATAATGCATCGTCTACGGGATCAAAATTAACTGCAGCCTTGACATCACCGGATTTACGATCCGCGTCACCGATAGCCAAGTGCTCCTCGTGCATCATTTAATTTTTATACCTTTATAAATTGTAGAACTGGAGAGAATATCTGATGCAAGTATTTAGCGAATTAAAGCTATTTTTGACCTTTTTAAAAATATATGAAAAATCAATTTATTGCTTGTCACAATCTTAAGAGTGAATTAGATTGTTGAATTCTCGGAAAGAAAGTTGCAACAATCAAATGGATCTGCAAGTGGATTTAGATGGTCGTAATCTTGCGTTCGTTATCAAAATATCGGCATTCCGTGCACGCGCCAGGCTTTTTACCGAAGCGATTAGAATTTCATGGATCGGTTTTGCAGGTCACACCGGCGAAGGTGGCTGCTGCAAGAAGTACGTTGTCCTTTGCTATCTCTGCGGCGGATTGAGTGCGGCAGTCGGCAGCCTTTTTTTGGCGGTGCACGCGATCCTTTCGGCCCACACGGACAGTCTAGCGCTCTTCGAGACAGTGCCGTCTTACATTCCCGGCATTATGGTGAGAGACAAAAATCAGTCGGTCGTATTACCAAATGCGTCTTGGCGTGCCAATATCCATTCTGATGGTTGTATGCAAAAACATTAATGTATCAAGCAGCAGCAGCAGCATCGAGTAAATTAAAACGCCAAGTTTTTTATGCTGCTGGCATAACAATGTATACGACTAATTTCTTTTAATTTTATGAGCTTTCGCACCGCGAATACGTAATGCGTAATGAGAGAGAGAAAGAGAGAGATTGCTTTATCTGTTCAATTACCACGTGGATAGTAATAGTTGAAGATCGCACAGACGCACGTGATTTAATTGGCGAATAATTAATTTGCCGTTTTCAGCTGATCATGATGGGTTTCTTCACAATGCTGCTAGCTAGACGAAAGCACAGATACGGACTTCTGGTAAGTTCGCCGCGTAAACTTTTCGTCCCCGCGGGAAAGCCGTCATTGCCGCTTGCCGCTGACAGTTCTGCTATTAAACTGGGTTTATAACTTTTGCAGATGAAAGTCTGCGGTTCCGTGGGAGTGGTGTGCGCGCTGGTATGCGTGCTCGTCACCGTCACGACTACGGTTATTCACATGTCGCGATTGCAGAACCTTCGCGAGTGCGTTTACACTGCGCGCGCGAGGTACGTATAATCCCTCTCTCGTTTATACATCCCAGAAGAAATTACGATCGTAAAGTGGCAAAGCGCTTCGGCGTCGTTATGAAACCGCCGTATAGTTTGTGAAGATAATAATGTTTCGCATTATGAAAATTTAATCATCCTCCTGCTATACAGTTAAAATCTCTCTCGCGGAAGTGTCAGAATATTAAAATAAATCTTTCTCAATTTACTTAAACCCTTTAAATATATTATGCAAGACTATCGATTATTTTCCAAATGAAAACAAGCCTCTTGCACAGATATTAATTTCAATATCCATGTAATGATTCATACAGATCGTGCACGTGTTACGGCGCACCGCAGTCGAAGGGGGATCCCGGTGTGCTGTTCGAGGGAACGCCTCACTGCGAGGCGGTGCACGGCGCGTTGTCGGACTGCCTGAGGGCCCTCTTCGGCGTCTCGGTCGCCGGTATACTGGCCTGCATATTCTCGTGCATGCTGGTGTACCAATTGTTGAGCCACGAAAAGAAGAAAATGTACTGGGAACAGTTGGAGCTGAGATGCAGATCGTTGTACGGCCAGGGCGGCACCGTGGGACCGCCGGCCGGGTCCTGCGGATGCTGCAACGATTGCGGGGGTGCGAACCCGTGGTGGGCCCAGACACCCGGGAATTTGTACACACCGAATCCTGATATGGCGCCATCCAGGTATGACAACAATATTTAAAAAATAGATGTTTAAAAGCTATAGATATTATTGTTTCTCTTTAATAAAAGTATTAATGTATGATAAAACTCACACTGAACAAAAAACCTCTTTAAATCGCAAACCCGCAACATCTTTTTAAAAGAAAGTCTGTTTTATAATATCATACAATAAACGTATGGCTATATATATAAATTACAGCTATTTTTAATCAAAAACATCGAATAGGCCTTTAACTCGATATTAATATTTGTTAATAATGATTGCCGCGTATGTCCAATGAAACTGATATAAATATTATAAATTTCATAAAGAAATAAAGTGCAATAAAATAAATACTAAAAATATAATAAACAAACAAATGCACATTGTATTCTGATAATTCGTTAATATATACTATTGATTAAAACGGCATTTCTCTCGATTCTCGATATTTACAAAAAGATTTTCCAAGTCTCGGAAATGTATTGTAATGAACGACGCGCTCTTTGAAGTTTAGTTTACTTTTATTCGCCGCAGCACGAATTGGCAATAAAACGCACGGCCACGCACGTCAATTGGTTTTAAAGTATACCAGTACAGAGACACGAGTCAGTAGATATTTCTCTGAACACTGTATCCATCGAGATACCCGTCTGGTCTGGCATCGATCCCGGGAGTACGTAAAAAAAAGGGTAAAAGAAGATTATATTTGTATTGCGTATGATTCTCGAATCAATTCGCGCACCGTCAAAGGTTAAAGAACTATATTTCGCAATAGATATGATATCGATAAGACAATATTTTCATCGATGCAATAATATATATTTACGATAGAAACATACAAAAGCTTTGTAAAAAAAATCTTAAAATGTATCGGGATATATCGTAAAACATGTTCCTTCAATTTTATTTAGATGATTAAGTCGATAGAAACGAACAAGATGTAACATTTCATTTTATAAAGTAATAATTTACTATACTTTACTCTTTAAGTGTTTTAATAGAGATAAAAAATTATTAATATATATAATTAATATATTAAAAGTTAGAAAAATAAAGAATGATAAATTTGGGTAAACATTGTTTTTAGAACGCAAGAGAATCTATAAATTTGTTATTACTATATTGTTTTTCTTCCATAGAAGATGGCGATTACCTTGGTCGAGATCAAGAGGTCCAGCACCGAGCCCAGATTCGAATTATGGTTTTCACACGCAAGCACGACCAACGGAAACCAATGTGGAGAGCGGAACTGGTCCCTATAGTGTCTTTAACTCGCAGTCGAGTGGCCCTTACTCTGTTTTAAATGCTCCGAATGTTCCATACACTGCGAGCACCGCGTCCTACAGCGTTTTGGAAACTCCAGTGCCATTGTGGGGGCCGCCACCTCCATACAGCGATCCTAACAGTCCCGCCAGACGACCGCAAATGACCGAATCGAGAGCCAGAATTGCTAAGAGAATGGATAACTTCGAAAATAACGAAGGTAAAATGTCAATTACGACAAACGGTTTTTAAAAGTTGAACTAACTAACTGAAAAAGCAATAAATATTATTAATTAAGAATGAATGTAATCAGTTAAGAAAAATATATATAAAGAATCGACAGTTCGTTAATTTTTTGATATTGTATGTTAAAAATTAAACTTTTGCGTTTTTTCCCTTAAATGTTTAGATCATAGATCGAGGTCCGCAAAGCGTCCTTCCGATAATTATGAGAATGCCGAGGAGATCTCTAATAGCACGGATCCTGAGGGCGGGAACGAGGGAACCATCAAAGGTAGGAGAGTCAGAAAACCCTTGAAGGGCGTGGAAAATGGAGCATTTCAGCAAGAAACGAATCCCGGCTCAAAACAGTCCGAGAGCGAACTATATTTCGGTGACGTGTCCTCGTGCTGCGGACCCGAGAGTAGTTTTTACGATCTAGCTGTGGAAAAAGAAGGTACTTATTACAATTCTATCTGCGACGATTGTGTGTAACATTCCTTGTAATTAAAATTTTAACCCATATTACTATATTTATACAGCTAGAGACTAATGTCTTTTTTTATAATTATCATATTTAAATTAAATTTTAAATCATATAAGTGTGTCTTTATTATTGATTATCCTGTAGGAATATTTTTATTCACAGAAATCGTTGATTTAACCCGAAGAATTATTTATTTCAAAATTATTTATTTCCACGATTAAAACATTTGTTACAAAATTTTTTGTATGTTCGACATTCCTGTCTTTTTTGCAGGTGCTGAACGTTCGGAAGGTGTAGACTATTTGGCGAGCAGGCTGGGCAAGCGTCAACTATCGAAGAGGTCTCGATTGCCTCTTCCTTTGCCCGCGGACAATGGCGACATTCCTTGTGACAATTATGCGAACAGCGACGAACCGAGAAGCGCGAGAGGTCCATTCCTCGCTCCCGACGCGCAATACGAGGTGATTCAACAAGGACGTTACTCCTATTACGGGACGAAGGATGACGAGGAGCTGCAGGAGGGTCCGGCGAGTTCCAATTACTTCCGGGAGGACGAGAACGAGAGGGGGCGTGAAAGGGATTATAGGGATTACAGAAACAGCCAGGAGGAGGAAACGCCACAGTGCTGTTTGAGCGATTCAACGACTCTGGATTCGGGTTGGCAAAGCGGAGAACAACAACAGTCGGACGATAATGTTCGACCGGTGAACGTGTGATCTTAGACCTGTAAGATTATTAGCAAAAACGACAAAGGTGACGAGCGACCATCGATTTCCTGCGGGGAAGTGTTATACGAAAACAATTAAATCGAAATAACGAAGGAAGTGCGCGACAATAGCTTCTGATCTGTGAATAATTTAAATCGATCGTAGGTCTTGTTCTTAAGTAAACAAAGCTAGTGACTGAAATTGCTGAGATCTAATCCTTTGAACTTAATTGACGGAATAGAGAACGTGGTTATAATGTTCGAGCTTGGCAGATAAGGTCCTAGTCGGATGAGTAGGTTCGCTTTTAAAAAGCGTGGCTAAACTTAATTAAACTTAATGCACTAAGTTTAAATACGCAATGTGAACTCTGGAATAGCATGTGTGTCAGTTTATAGTATCGATTTTTCTCCCGAAATAAGTACATTTTTAAATTATTAAAAAAGTTAATTTAAGGACCACATTTCGCACTTTTTAAATAAATTAAGCAGTCACGAATTTAACGCACGACAAATATCGTTTCTATAAATAGCAGTTATTTAATAGTTATTAATTTTATCTTTGGTATATTAAACGAATTACATACTACATTCTTATTCCTTTGTATTAAAATAAATATTTTTATTTTGATGTTATTTACATGATTGATGATGAATTGTATCGATGCCATAAACAGCACACAATAATAAACAGACTTTAGTAATAATTTGTAGTAATAAAAACTATAATAACATGAAACACAAGTGCTAATCTCGATTTCGACGAGAATGAACTGTCATTAATTCCTCTTAAGAAGCTTGCCAGTTCAATATAATCTATATATGTGTAAATTGTTTTTAATTAAAGAGAATAGCCGCGATACACAAGTAGAATACGATCAAGTGATAATTTACTATGTTAATCTTTAATATAGAATCAAGTGATGCAAACAATTAAAACTTGTGCGTAAAAACTCGTTGTGTTCAGCATCAGATGTGCATCAACGATCGTAATGGATGGAGTGAAGTTAAAGCAACATCGTTCATATTAAAACATGATCAACTGTTAATCACGTAAGACAAAATATTTGCGGCAAATTCTGTGTATTTTTGCTAATTGCAATGTTGCTCGTATTGCTTGTAGTAATGAACAATATATAGTGTGTATTAAGTATAATCGAGAAATTAATTGTGTGGAAGAGAACGAAAAAGAAAGAATATTAGTTTCATATAGTTGTGTGGATTGTTTGTTGAAAATATATCGCCACAAACGGATGTATGATTACTTTACTAAAAAATGTTCGTTTTATTAGTTATTCATTTATTATTTCATATTATTTATTGCATTTTTCTTGGGAGTAATGTGCTAGCAATATTTTTACCTGATTTTTTTTTGAAACTTTACGTCCATTGTATGAATTAAAATTGTCGATCCACAATTGTTCTTTGTTGGATACGCGATAGATACCATGTACAAAAGTGTGCTTTACTCTTGCCAATTAGGTGTTAGCTGTAATTCTTAAATAGTCGCTGACTATCTTCGAGATAGTCAACGATCAAATGATATGTTCGTAACCATAAGAAATATATTCATAATGACAGTTTAATTATTTGCGATTAATAAATCGTCTCATTGTCATTCATAATTCTGATTTATTTCTTATTGTTAGTATCTTATATCCGCGACTGAAACGTTTCATTCGATGCTTTCCCCTCAGTTGAGAATTTTGTACAAATCTTTCGTTTGATGTTTGTATATTATTGTTATCAATGCTTATTAAATCACTATTGAATCACTTCTTTAAATATTGCGTTATTACGGTCGCAAACACTCGTTTTCAGAATCACAATTCTGTGGACCAAGGACAATATAGAGAGAGATCAATCAAACTAATTAGCGATTAGATTAATACTCGTCGGTTGTCTATTTTCGCCGCTCGAGATGCAAACGTGAATAAAATGCATATTTTATCATTCAGAAGCGGCATAGTCAGATTGTAGTGCAGTAGCTTAATGCCATTTAAGTGAATGAAGTGTACCTTAAGGGCGAGCCGCGAGTCGTAGTAAGTCCGCCATCGAACAATGTACTTGACAATGATTAAGAATAAAGGATGATTTTGCGAAGCAAGGCTGCGCGCAATACGACGGATGTGATCCTCTCCTTAAACCGCGGCTTGTTCTTCATATTTTGTCACACAAATTATTCGGTATGTGATAAATGTGATAAGCCGAGGCGGAAATCCCATGTAGTATAGCTAAACGTATATGTGTAAATCATATGATAGAAATAATAATATTTATCTCAGAGTATATACATATTTCTTTGTAATATTTGCCGCATACAATATTCCTTTTGGTATCCTATTTAAAATGCAGTGCGAAAGCCGGCGAACACAAACGCAACTTCGGATAAGAAAAGAATGTGGGTTTCAATGTGGTATTGCTATTGTTAATATATAGTTTCCTTAACGAATTCCGGCAGGTTCGTTGGCCAACATCGAATTGCTTGATATGTCGTAACAAACCTTTAACTTTCACAGTGTGTATATGAACGAAAGGCGATGCGTGGCACATAATGATAAAATTTAGGGTGTGATTTTCAGACCGTGAGACGCGCAATTTTTACGAGTTGAAAGTTATATTCCTTAAGAAATGTTATAGTCTTATTAACATATCGCGTAATGAGCGCGTATATATGTTTATTAATCAGCTTCATTACTAAAACTACTGTTAAGTAGAGTCAAGACAAACGAGATATATTTGAAGCACATTTATACGAAACAATAATAAGATACGTTGTTTTATGCGATTATCATGCATATGATAAACGTAGTAAATGACGACTTTAAATAAATAATTAACTTATTGAAATAATCTCTTGTAAGTAAATGGCATTTAATTGTTCTCAAAATCAATTCATTACTTTTTCATCCGGTTGCAGTGTGAATTGATATGTTAATTAACCAATCTGCGAAAATATACTTCTGACAACATAATAAACATAATTAGTATCGTTTATTGCTCGCTGTGGGGACATTTATGATCAACTTTATATTTGAACGTGATACTGACACATTCCTACTAAACGTCATGTAAACGTATAAATAGAAGTTCGTTATTTCAGTACAATAGGTGCAACAAGTAGGACTTATATTTGATTATTCTACTCTTTATATTTCTACAATTAAAAATAAAATGTATGTACAGATCTGCGTCAGAAAAAAAGTATAAGTAACAACAAGGTATACAGTACAAAAGAAACTGAGATCGGTACAGTATTATTATATTATCTATCGTAAGATTGGCATGAGAAATTTTGTAAATATTTTAAAACTTCTATGAAAATTTGAGTCCATTTTGGAATCGTTAGCTTCAAGTACCTTCAACAACTCTATGAGTTGCTTGATTTGCCAAGAATCTCTCGACTCTTTCCTTAAATTCTCTGCTGGATTCCGGCAAAGGTAATCGCGGTCCGACACCAGTGAGACCTTGCAAATTCTGAAGAGCTTCCGACAACCGGTGATCGTGATCCAATATATCAGGTCTGGGTGCTGGGGCTTTTCTCTTTTGCAGCGGCAACCTCGTCATCTTCGATTCGACGACGACATTATTGTTCTCCGGCAGTCGGTTCATCATTCCGCAGAACGCGATCTTTACGCTGAGCAGCGACCAGAAGATCTCCAGAAGAGACGCCATCAAGACGTTTAAGATCAGCAGCATTCTGTGCGACGAGTTCTCATAACGGCTATGCCAGAAGGTCTTTTCCTTCGTCAAATTCATAAATCCTCGCGTAATGTTCGTCGTGCCTTTATTCTGCAAAATTTCTCTCGATATCATCATCCTTTCTTCAAACATGAACGACGCTTCCGTCACCGTGAGATCATCGTCGTTTTTGGCATCGACGTGGAAGTCTGATACGTTGAGCTCGGTGCTCAGAGATTTTAAAGAAACAGGTAATTTTAGTTCTTCAGTGACGTTGAATGAGTCCTCAGTCGACATAATATCATCCACAGGAGTATCGTTTGTGAAAACCTTGGCGGGACGAAGGGAATAACGCGGAGCGTCGAGGATTTCTTCTAACGGCCACAGGGATCCACCGGTGCTGTTGGAAGCTGCCGCGACGTCGAAGATCGTGACGACGAAGCAGAGGATCGCGGCTACCAGAGAGAAGAGGCTGCCGTAGAAAAAAATGGCGATGTTCCGGTCGATGTACCAACGTCGCCAAGCGAGGAGACCTGTCACGAACGGCACCAGACACGCAACGGACAATATCGGGCCCTGCAAGGACAAGGCGAGGGTACCCAGAAGAAGGGACAGCGCTCCGAGGCCGAAGTGGACCAAGGACAGGCCGCCGACTGTCGACGCTGAGTAACGACGCTCCGATGGATACAAAGACGACAACGGCGGTTTGGTTTTTACTTTGATAACGTACACGTTCTCCGTCATTGTTATCTTAATTTGCAAATACACTTGATTGCACCAACAACATTTAATTCGACGGATCGGATCGAGAGGAAAAATTGCATCAAGTACAATGTGTTCGGCACATTTGTTTGAGACAAATTTAATTCATGTTCACACAGTCCGTTATCTCTCTCGTTGACATAACTGAAAAGTTTACACTTTCATAAGTATTCGTCGCAATGTCACAGATCTCATCCAAATTGTTTGTAAAGCATTCGTCGCATCTCTCGCCTTGCACTGTTAAATTAAAAAAAAATTAATGCAGTAATTGCTTGCTGTGTTACATAACATAAATAAAAATGATAAAAATAAGATATTTCATAAATGTATTTAAATAGATTGAAATATTATACGTAATATAAGTTGATATACATTAATATAATGTTTTAAGTATAAAACTGTACATTATATATATACACATCATATAATTTTTATTATTTATTATAATTTTTATTAATTTAATTTCTAAACAACATCTTAATATCTTTTTGATTTATATTACTTTTATTTTAATTATTAAAGGCTATATAACATATTAATTCAATTATGTACGAGGTAACTTGATTGATTGGAAAGTAGATTATAAAATTGAAAAAGTAGACGATTGATCGATGAATAATCAAACAAGTCACGATATGTGATGATCTTACAGTCATTTATTCGGCATTCGACTACACCGGATATGCAACCCGTAATCAAATTTGAGACACGATTGAGTCGGGAACGTTTATAACGAATTCGTCGATGTTTGACGACATAGTAAAAGAAACCGCATTGATTTCCGCGCTGCCAGCGAGAACAACTGAATTATCGTAACCGCTTTTCGTTTAACTTAATTGAAGTCCTCGTCGACCTCCGCGTCTGGATTTTGCTCCACGCGGCTTTCCGCGAGATAGACATTTTACGCAATCCATGGATAACAATCGCCTGCTCGTGACAGACTACAACCAGTCTCATGCGGAGCAGCTCACACGCCTAACATTGTAATAATCATTTTTATCATAAGTGAAGTATAATGACGTATATAATTGTGAAATCGGTTCTACTTTAATACTTGAGCGCTCTAGATCTAGAATAACAGGATTAAAAGGAATTATACGCAGTAATTGAACTAATATGCAAGCAAAGACTTTTTTCAGAGTTGCAATTAAATAAACTTAAAACCGGTTTTTAATTTGTAATTTTATTCAACGTTATGAATTATTATATGGAAAATTATGGATTGCAACATTATTCATGCAACTGCGACTGATTCAGTTAATGGGCTGAAGGATTAGACGCGTCGTTACCGTCAATCTTTTTTTCTCGTGCTAGGATTATATAACTGATTACGAGACACTGAGTTTATGTTGCAAGTGTGCTCCTGTTTCCCCAGGTATTCGTATTTACGTCGAATTAGAATGTCGAACCGTGAGAATCTTCGGTGAAATTTCTAGCGAACTGTGAATATGCGTTTCAAGATAATAATGCAAATATGACCTAACAAATAAAACCGTATAAAAAACCACGCAAAAACTGTAAAATGTTTTCGTTCAATTTAAATGTTATATTGCAAAGTGTAACGTACACAATTTGAGAAATTAAATATCAATTTCGAGAAACAAGATATTTCTAACCATTTATTAAGTTTTATTAAATATTAATTAACTCAAGTAATATTAATTTTATGATCAAAGTTTACAAACTAAATTATTTTTCAAAGTCCAAATTTACTAGATATGATAATCGATTCTATAATATACTAAAGTTGGGAAAAAATAATTAAATTCATTAACATATACTATATATCATATAAAAGCAATATTTTAAAACTCTAAAACTTCAATTAAATTAACAATATTTATATGTCAATTTAGTGTGTTATATATTAATTTTATATCAACTTTGCGTTCTTGAACATAAAAATCTGAAGATAAAAATGTATCCCACAAAAATACACAAGATAAAATTAAATTTTACGAACTTTATCTCATTGGCGAACTTGCCGAGGCAATGTGCACTGGTGATAATACATCGATCACGTTTAATACTTTTCTTCGCAAAAATTACTTTTGATTCAGTTAACTTTGAGAGAATGGACTTTCGGATATTACATTTCGTTAGCGTTAAACTCGCGGCTTGATGAGCGATCACTCTGCACTCGCGCGTGATACTTGAGTGGCGACTGAACTACGAAGACTAGTCCTCGTTGAAATTGCTACGATATCCTGAACGAGCCTCCCACGCAACCGACTTGCAGTGAAAGGGACAACAGACAACAGCGCCGGATAAGCGTACCTTCGACTGGCGTTAAATCCTGTTCACATCATCGACGTCTTGTACTCACGCGGCAAAACGATCTTGGCAATGGGAGATAGATATCATCTTGCATTTTACTCTCGCCTATGTCGTTCGTCGCTACGTAATGTGTGCATGCAAGAGAGAACAATAAAAACAACAGAACATAAAAAAAGTAAAAATAATTATTTTTTAAGTAATAAAATTTCTTTTTTATGCTCTTGTTATGTTCTTGAAGGTTTTAATAAGACAATAAACGTGTTATTGTCTTATTGTGATAGCGGAATTCTTTGTACTTAGTTCTTTGACTCGACGAACTTTTCGGAATAGCAATCAGTTGACCTCACTTGCCTCTGACGAAAACATGACCCTTCCACTCAGTGTGAAAGTCCCGTTATAATCGAAGGTAAGTCTCTCAGAGAGCAAACGTATCCCAGGGTCTTCGCGCATGAGCCAACCTTTATTGTTAGCTGCAGAAACACGTGGGTTCAACACACGACCTTTTCGTTGGATCACTTGCAGATTGCGTTACGACAGAATCCCTATAGAGATATATGTATTATATGTAATATAACGAAGAAGCTGTACAATCTTTCGGATGTTATTATTTCAACTAGATTATAATAAATATAAAAATATCACTTTCTCACCTTGTTACTTTCGAACGCGTTTTATGATCGAATAAGCAAAAAGATAAAGCAGAAATTATTTCTATTAAAAGATACTTTAAATATCGAGGTCACCTATTATTACGTATTATTGTATAATTAAATTTATTACCATGATTATCGACGATCCTAAGCTGTTACGATATTTGAATTAATATTCGTCGCTTTTAATTATAGAGAAATTTTAACGTAGCGAATTTAATCGTTAAAAATTAGTCATTTTCTTTTATAATTAATCTTATTACATAGCTTTCTGTTTGAAGTTATTTAAATATCAAGTTTCCATTTAATGTAGGATAATCTTAACGTTATCAAAAGCGTCTAAAAAAAATAAGGGAGATAAAAGAATAAAACCGCATGTGATTATCGTGTCTCTTACAAGATTTCTTCGTGATACTAATCACAGATGCAAGGACTATGATTGCGCCTAATGCAAAATGGTTCTAACAAAATTCTAACTGTCGTTCTAATTGTCGTTATTAGTGCCGTTGTGTAATTAAGAGGACGATCAAGAAAGTGTAGCTTCCAATAGCTGCGACGGATAAGCTGCACATTGCGTCATAACGGTGTGCATCTCAACGCATCGCAAGAATCCGTCGGATTGGACGATAGAGAGGACTTTCACGATGTGCAGCAAAATCGTTCTGCCGTCAATAAATCGTTCATGCGGAAACTATGAAGCGCTTTCGAGAAGATCGTCGTATTGGAGACATCGAACTTCCGGTAAGATCGATCAAACCGCAAACTCGTTCAAGCGGAAAATAATCGCGTTTTAAAGAGACGTGCTAAAGGAATAAAATCTTAGTGCGTGACTCCGCACAACGCGGAGATAACTGCAATTTCCGTGTAGGTATGTGGAAAAATGACACATTTCTTCACGATATCATGTATGCGACGGTCTTAAGATGTCGATCTACTTCTGTTGGCTCTTCTGAAAACAAAATGCAATCTCGGACGTCACAAACGAAAGCTTTCTTAATTACTACTCTTGCTATATGATATAATTATTTTAATAATTATATGTAAAAATAATAATTATATATAAAATTTCTCGATTAACCACAAATTTATCAGATATATAAAATAATAGATATATAATCTTGAACTTGAAAACGATTGTTAATTGTTGAATTGTTTATTGTTAAAGCCAGTTTATTTAAATTTATTTTAAAAAAGTGATAAGCCAAGTTTTTTGACAAGAAAAATTTATGTATTTTAATACAATATTTTTATTTTTTGTACTGTTACCTCTGTAATTCTTTGCGATGCGATTAAATCTTTTAAAATACATATATAAACTTTGTATTTAAATACCTTGTATTCCCTTGTTGGGTTTAAATATTTTAATAAAATATTTGTATTTTGTACTGTTACCTCTGTGTATAATTCTTCATGATTCAATTTTTTATTCTAATCGAAGAAAAGCAGTAGTAATATTATACCTCGAAAAAACCTAAGTAACAAATGGTAGACGTAATCTTTGTATCTCGAAAAATACACTGAGAAAAAAAATTGTTAATCCCAAGAAATATTTAGTTTGATACGTTCAACTAAACATTTTAGTTAGTTAACTAAATATTAGTTGTTTAAACAATTTATTTCGTTTCTTTAATCAAGAATTAATTAATTCAACTAATGTTTAGTTAACTAACTAAAATGTTTAGGTGAACGTATCGGACTAAATATTTCTTGGGATTGACAAATTTTTTTCTCAGTGTATGTTCTCTGTAATTGGCGCTGTAATTTAAAAAGAGATATCATTTCTTTTTTGTAATTGTAATAATAGATCACTTAAAGCGCGACTTATTTTTTGATAAGGTAACGTAATTTTGTGATGTGTATCACTTGAGTAATAATTTTTTGGAAATAAAAATACTACTGCTTAGGTTTTTTCGAAATTTTTGGAGATACAAAGATTACGTCCACCACTTGTTACTTAGGTTTTTTCAAGGTATAATACTACTACTTTGTTTTTTTTTCTAGGTGAAGATACTACTGTTTAGGTTTTTTCGAGATTTTTCAAGATACAAAGATTACGTCTACCACTTGTTACTTAAATTTTTCTAAGGTATAATACTACCACTGTTTTTTTTCGAGGTAACAGCATATACACTACTATGCGTGTACTTGGCGCCTTTCTTTACTTTTTTTTAAAAAAAGGTAATTTTGTACAGATATCACGCCTTTTTGTAGTATTACGCATTGTATAAACAGTATGTATAGGGTGTTATTTCGAGGTATAATACTACCACTTTGTTTTTTTCGAGGTAACAACATAATACATATTATATACTACTATGCGTGTACTTGGCGCATTTTTTTACCTTTTTTTTGAAAAATATACATGTACTTTATTATTTTTTCTGGACTAGTTTTTTGTGAAATAAATACCTCGATAAATCTGTAATTTTTGTAAGTTATTTTTAATGTAACAATGGCGAAAGAATTTGATTCCACGCATTCTTGTCAAGTATAATATAAAATATACTTATCCATAAAATATCCTATCCTAAAAGAGTATCAATCTTTTGAAGTCTGCAATTGAGAAATAAATAATTTTGTGATTCATTGTATGAGCGTGCTGATGATATAATAGTACTTAGAGATTATACTTCGCCCTTTCGAGAGATCGGTCACGTCGCTCCGAGCACGTGAGGAATATCG